AAATACAATCCTCAATAAATTGCTTACCATTAAACTGGGACTTTAATGATAGGTATTTAAGGAGACACCTTGAACTCTTCTTTGAAGAGCTCATAACTTTACATCTATTTTTTTTTTTTTTTTACTTTTTCCTTTTTATTGGTGTCAGTGATCGAACTCACGACTGCCCGCTTACAAGGCAGGCGCTTATGCCGTTGAGCTAAATCCCCAGCCCCTTTATGTCTATTTTTAAATGCATACCAGAAATTCTAAGATAGGTGCTCCCAGTTCCATCATGTGGATTTCCAGATGCAGGATATGACCTGCTATTCTGAGATTAGCCATGAAAATAGGAGGTAGCAGTGGCTCAGAACTAGCAATCATCCAACGCTATTAGTAAAAGAAAGTTGGATTTTAAATGAGCAGTGAAACTACATTAGTCCCATCATTGTATCGCACTGATTGTTGGAAGAATAGGATGTGAAACAGGACTGGATATAGCTCATATTTGAGTTTTGATTCTAATTCTTCTACCTCAAATGACTTTAGTACTCTTTGTCTCAGATTCCCAACTACAAATGAGCACATTACCTGTCACCCATCTTAAGCTTTTAGAAGAAAAATACATTAAGCTAAATGACTAGTGACATTTGTCACATCTCTGTCTGTAGAGTGTTTCGATCAGATCTATACTGACCTGAGCACACTGGGTTAATAATAGCACCACGTACTTCAGAATGTGGCTTAATTAAGTGTACCTTTTGTTTATTTGTAAATGCAGCAGGAGCATGAAGATAGACAAATTTGGTCTGTGTGTGCTATTTTCTGGGGTGAAAGCTCTCTGATGTGGGACTTCTCACTAATTTCGAGATCCTGACTGAGCTCCCTGAGATTCCTTTCCCTTTAGCTTTCTTTACCGCTTCGCTGGGGAACATACTCAAAGAGATGTCAGCCAGGGAGAAGACCCGTGAATAAAGAAAGCCAAGCATGAATCAAGGTGGCTTTGTGAAGGTACTCAAGGCAAAGATGCCATTTCCTCAAGTGAATGGATGCAAATGGGAGTATTACCTGTTCATGCTTACAAGTAGCCTCACTTCCTGTAGCTCTCTGATATTCTTTCTGCATTTTCTGTGTCTGCCAGGGGCACAGGCCTGGGAAAATGTTCTCCACAAATAGTGATAGCACTGCCTGCTGCAGTTCCCAGATGGATGGAGGCATTTCCATCCATGAATTCTTGTCCCCATGGCTGAGCTGGGAGACCTGTCAATTCATTTCAAGCTGGCGCTGGCATTCACACTGCCGTGGAGCCAGAATACAGAGCACGCCCACTTCCTTTATTAAAGTGGTTCTATTTGTCTTGGTGCTCTTGTTCTGTGAGGCTGTGGGTCCCCAAAATTTACCTTTTGGGAGGATAAAACTCACATTCTTGTTAGAAGCTTTTCTTCCCTCCAACAAACTGCTTTTGCATGATTCTAAGGGTCGAAATAACCAATTTTCATTGTACAGCTACAGAAATATTGTATTCTTTCTTTTTTATTTTAAAAAACAAATGAGAAAAAAGGATAGAAATGATACAGAATTTAATAGTAAGAAATTAACACTAGGTTATCTTAGAAATAGTTGTTCAGGTCACAAGATCTATGCATAAAAATGATCAAACAATGACAGCATAAACTGTTCTTTTTGATAAATTAGCAAGTAGTGTGGAAAAGACTGCTGTCACCTGGAGCTTTACAGTTCACAGCGCAGCAAGGAGGCCAGCACTTTTGTTATAAATCTTAAAAAAAGGTTAAATTGTATTTTAAAGTAAACTTTGTTGCCTCAGGTGGATTGCTTACAAACAGAATAGTCTGTGAAAATGATTGCAGCAACAAAGTGCTATGGGAATAGCATGCAAATGGAGCTGTAGTTAGTATGGCAGCACTCTCACGGTTGACAGAAATGGCCGAGGAAGCAGCAGATGATGTCAGCCTGCAAGTCTTCTAATGTGTTCGGTGATACAAGCAGAGAGCCCACAAGGCAGCATTGCTTTTTTTTTTTGAAAGCAAGTAGATAATCTGGTAGCGCTTTAGGTGTGGTGCCATAGTTTCCTTAGTCGAATGCAATCATCTTTAAGGTACAAATTTTGATTTTAAGAACATCTCAGATGTAATGGAACCTGACCAAAAGTATCTGCAGTGATGATCTTGAATTACACGGTCTGAAGACTATAGAACAGGCAGATAAAGTACAGGGTCTAAGAAGTAAACAAAACCGCCGCTGGCAGCTCTCTCTATATATAAAGAGTCTATGTTAATGGAACCACAAGAAGGGAGAATAGTTTCCTGCATAATTTTATGAAAGGAGCTCGTGTCCCCATGGTACAGGATTAGCAAGAAGTGAAGTATCTTCAAAAGTAAATTTCCTGACATTTCTAGCTACTAAAATATGTATCCTGCCTTGGTGAACTAATAATAACTTAGTGAAAGGCTTCATTTAGTATAACCAAATGTAATGCAAAAGGGACATATTAAGATAAACACAATCTCTATTTTAGGACTTGCCAAGGGTGAGTTTTCTCTCTTTTCTTTCTCCCACGCATTGAATGTCAAAAGCAATAAAATGACATTAGCTGTAGGAAACGGCAAGATAAGAACATAAAGCGGTGCCATGTGTATGAGAACTCGCACCCCGTTCACTAATCCCAAAGAGAAAAGCGTTTGTCTTGAAATAATTTTTCTTTGAAACATTGAATTATATATTTTTGTATGTGCTTGTATGTTAAAATAATTTTATTTAATGAACACTTGGAAATTGACACATTTTGCCTTTGTTCATCTATGGAAAAACTACATTCAGAATCTATGAATTCTAAATGAAACCATTTGAAATATTGACATGTTTAGAATCTTTCTGTATTTTGTATCTAGCACAGCATTGTATATGTGGTAAGCACTCTCTAGGATCAAACTGGGAAAAATCATGGTGACGTATTGACAAACTTAGAAGCAATTTATCATGGCGTAAAATTCTTTATATTGCTCTGACCTGGTAATTTTATTTTAGTGAATTTATAATGAGTCTTAAGCACTGAGAAATTTATGCACAAAGCTACTTGTCTTTATTGTAGTGTTATCTAAAGCAAATAATTAAAAACAAGAAATTTCCTTTTGCTGAGTATTCAGATAAAGCAAATGTTTATTATATACCCTTTAAAGAAACATTACACAGTCAATAAAATGTTTGCCAAAACTAGACAGCACTGCAGAAATCATCACATGCAGAAAAACTGCCAAAAACCTGATGTAGTGCATTGTAGAACTTAAACCAAGTAGCAATTCTATGAGGATAAGTAGAAAAAGACTGAAGACACTTGGGGAGGTGCAGGTTGTGTCTGGATGGACACATTATGGGTACTCTCTTAAATAATTTTTTGATTTTTTAAAAAGTAACTGAAAAAAGCAACAGTTAAGCATAACACTGAATTGTTGTGCTTAATAGTTAGCTGTGTTGATTGAATGCTTTCCTTCTCTCTGAATCATTTTCTATGTATGTATTCTCACGATGGTTAATTAGTCACAAATATGAACTCGGTCTGGCTGAGTACATAAATTTTAATTAATATAGACTTCATTAATTGAAGAGTAACAGCTATTCCCAGATCTTAGCATCATATAGAGTAAAAAGCCCCAAACTAGTAATATATTGGTGTTTTTTTATTATGTAGTTAGAACACATAATTCCCTAGAAATAAGAATATAACATATTGTTGCTTTTTTGTGAGCTTGTTTTATTTAACTAACTGTATATAATTAGACTATTTGAAATTGTTTCTAATAGCTGATATGTAATAAATGAAAATAAAACAATAGTTCATTTAGTTCACATAATTAATCAAATAAAAAGCAAAACTGATTTGCCTGATTGTTTATCAAGCAGATAGATTAGTGTGCTTCAGCAGGTTAAGCTCAGAATATACAGGAATACCATCATTTATTTCTTGTTAAAACATTTTTTATAAATGTAAACCTTTAAATACAATTGATAATTGAAAAGGAAGGTAAATAAACTTTTGCTTCATCTACCATCATTTATAGTAAGTAAAACACTATGGTAACTTTAGCACAATCCTTTCTGGAAATCTTTTCTTCCTCCAAATACAACCACTGAGAATTTATGTATGAAATAATAGAGAAAATAACGTCACAGTTATTTCATGACTTACAAATGCAACAACTGTTTTACTTTCTGTGGATATTTTTAAGACAAGACTTCAACTAAAATTTTCATTATTTGGGTCTCTTAATGTCATCCTTAAAGAAGAACCTAGTGTGTTTGATTTCAAACATCTTAAAAAGATTGACTATGCTATAATTATTAGGCTTATTCTTTAAAATTCAAATTTTCTTTAGGAGTTTTTTTTTAAAAACTAAAATACATTATTTTTGTTAGGTAAGCTTGTTTTGTGGCTTGCTTTATTTCAATTCAGTTGAAACTCTCTGCCATAGAACCCACACTGTCTCATTCTTTTCATTACAGACTTAAGAAATAACCACATTTCCAAGGCTGTCAGCATGAATCCTGAATCTCATGTGCTATTTTCTAAGTTGAAGCAATTCAGGATTTACTTGGGAGAACATAAGAAATGCGTTTTGGTTTGATACAGCTCTTAAAAACTAACTTCAGTTTTAAATGGTGTATGTTTAATTTAGGTGGATAAATTGAATTGGTTTCATGGTCCTATTGTTATTCATATTAATGATATGACATTGCATTACACGTTTTACAATAGCACATAGTACACATTGTTGCTTATTTCGACACAAATTGCACATATGCTTGTGTAGTGAACCTTAAATTACAAACTAACATTTTTAGTAATGAATCATCCAATCAACTGACCAACCAACCAGTCAGTCTATTCAGAGTCTACCATTTACTTACTAAGATACAGTGGTAAACTTGTCAATTCTGAATGTTCACTACTATATATAAATTTTTATAGATAAGCAATTTTAAAACTGAACATTTAAACCACTCACCTTTGGTTCCTTGAACTTGAAGAAAAATCCAAAACACAAAAAAAGTCCTTCTAATTTCCAAATACATCTTGCCTTTTGTGCATTAGCAATTCTGAAAATCGCTGAGCAATCCCAAATCTCTTTTGAAATAGTGAAAGGTCAGGAATATGACAGATAATAAAATATGTGTTCCAGCTGAGTGAGGCTAACCTTTGTGGTTTACCTTTACAAGTGCTCAGTTAGGGAGAACCTGCGGTGTGTGTGTCCGGATAATCTGCTTAATTTTCTCCTCCAATGTCAGCTCTGCTTAAGGACCAGCTGGAGAAGCCTTTATCTCATTAACCTTCTGAGGAGCATCTGTCAGCCACGCTCCAGCTCCCTGGATGCCCTCAGAACCAAGTGTCCACAGATGCTTTTTCTCTTTTCATTTTTCACCTGTTATAGTGACACAGGGAAAGAGGAAGTCCTTCCCAATGCAGAAGAAGACTGACACCTGGGGTCAGATGTTTCCCAAAACATAACATGCCCAAGGAACATTCTTCATAGGAGCTTCGTTGCTCTCTCTAAAAGATCTGCTTAATGAATGTGTACTATTGTCTAAGATAGAAAAGCTGTCTCCATTCTTGTCCATGTGCTGTTTTGTTCATCACTTTCTATCCAGTATTGCATTCAGATGGCTTTATTTGTTTTGACCTCATTTTAACTTTTAAAATCTGTTCATGCTTACTGGTAAAGGAGTCAAACACCTTCCTACAATGTGTGCGATGAACAATTATGCCTGGCTTCTATCCATGGCTGCATTTACAGGGCAATCATTTAATATTAATTTTTAGTGTTCTACCTGTACTTCTAAATAGTATGCTTTCATGAGTACTTTGGAGCTTTTTTCTTCTAGATATTATCAAATAATAGGTATTGAAGTTGGGCATGGTAGTTCTTACCTATAATTCTAGCACTCAAGAGGCTGAGGCAGGAGGATCACTGTGAGCACAACGCCAGCCTGAATTATATAGTGAGACAAACAAACAAACAACAAAAATGAGAAGCAACAATAGACACTGAGAATTTCAACCCATGTACATGTAATCCTTTTACTTACCATAATTACTTGTCTCACCTTTTGATTCTACTACATTAGGATTGCACTCTCAGCTTGAGTATTCCTTTTTTATTGTTATGACTGTATACATATCACATGTCTCTGAGATGCATTGAACTCTTGGAGATAAGTGCTGTTTTTAAATATTTCCATTGCTTATCCACATATTCTTCATTACAATACTCTGAGATAAGTACCACTGGTACCCTTTCTGCTTTACATGTCAGGAAAATAAAGAGTTTGTGACAGAGTCAGGAAGCAAATGGTCTAGTTCAAAAGTCTGTATTTAAACTTTATAAAAAGTTAACATGCAGTACTTAGCACACATTTACATGTATAATGTGGCATTTCAACCCATGAGTACAATGAATAATAATCAGATCAGTGTAAGAGGTATATTAATCACCTCCCACACTTATCATTTCTTTGTATTAGGAACATTCAAAATCCTTCTTACCACTTATTTAGAAATAAACAATTAGTTGTTGTCAACAATGGTTACCTTACTGTACCAGAGAATGAAAGTTAGTGTCACCGTCTCCAACAGCACCCGAACCCACCAACCATCCTGTTTCAGCACCTGCTTCTCCTCTCCCCGCCTCTGCTAATCACTGTTCTACTCTCCCTTTCCACCAAGGCTTTCTAAGCTTCTGCACAAGAGAAATAGCATGCACCATTTGTCTTTCTGTGCCTGACTCGATAGGATTTCAGTCTTTTTTTCTAGTTTGTACTATTAACTCCTTTTTGCAACCATCTCATACTTCAAAAAAAGTTTTCTTCATTTTCTAAATATAAAGGAATCAAAGATCCCCAATTGTTACCTCCAATGTGTAAATTTTCTCTTCATGTTACTAAATAGTTCAGAAAGTCTGTCTTTCCTGGGGTTTTCTAACCCCTTTTGTCTGTTTTATTTATTGTCACTCTTCTCAATAGTTATCTGGGATCTCACGTGACAATCACCTTGGACTTTCCTTTTGCCTTTGTCCTATACTTTACATCCCATGCTTTCTGTTTCTTACTATTGTATCATTTTTCAATGTTTGGTGTGGTTTCATATTTTTAAAAAAATCTTTTAAAACTGTTTTGTTTTTTTTGGGGGGGGGACACCCAAAAAGAGTTGTGAGTTTTGCTCACATCTTTAATTGCAGATTATTTTGGTTACATTTAAGAAAGTTATCATCAGATATACTACTATAAATAGGAGTCTACTTATAGTAGAAATTAACTAGGTGGGAGAGGAAGCTGCTTTTAGATAGCTGTATCTAGGAGGATGATATGAGAATGAAATAGAAGAGATGCGCCCCCACGTGTAACTCACATTGGGTGGACTGGGAAACATTTCTCTCCTGGTTGGCTGAGGAGCCCTTTCTTACTCTTCTGCTTCTAGCCCTGCTGTGAAATGTTAGTGCTCTTTCTCTAGGAGCATGGGAGAACAGTTTGAAGTTATGAAACAATTCCCACTTAGCCTTCTTCACGAAACATGGTGCTTTAAGAAAACTGTCTTGTAGACTAATTTGTCCTTAAAAGTTTCCCACATTGTACTTATAAATATAAATGCATTCACTTTAAAATAACAAATATTTAAAAGTTCTCTTCACAGCCATGCTTCATACATTTTCCCCCATTTTCAGTTAAAAATGTGAGTAATTAGTGCTGATAGCTGCCACTTAGGAAGCAAACAGGAATGCCAGACACTGTTATTCTCTTTTTTTGTACCAAGGATTGAACTCATGGCCTCACACTTGCCAGGCAGGTCCTTATGCCGCTGAGCTAAATCCCTGGCTCTGTCACTTGTTATTCTTGAGACAATGCTTTTGGGAACAAATCAGGTCTCCCTCTCAGTATTGTTGTGCTTAATTATGGGTCACTGCAATTAATCCCAAAGTGCTTCTTCAAGCTGGTCCCCTGTCAATAGTAATTATCTGTTCTTAGAGAGGTAAGCCTTCTCCTTCGGTTTCTGGAAGAATTTTAGTGCTGCATTTAAAATGTACAAGGTAAGGTGCAGGGGTCAGATGCCTTTGCCGTTGCATTCCTTCATCTGAGATCAGCAGATAAAATGAGGTACAGTTACCAAAATGAATCCATTAATATCATAAAGGAACAGTTTTGTTTGTTGATTAAAATAGAATTTTTTGAGTGTCCCCTGGCTACCATAATCACAGTGAGTGTGTTATATACGTAGTACGCCTATGAATTAAGTCCTACTTTTATTTTCACTTTAGTGGTGATGAAATTGAGACTCAGAGATAAGAAGTGCATTACCCAGTGGAGTAACTATGCAACTGAAGCAGGGTTTCCAACTCAAGTCTCTATTCCAAAACCTATGTTGTTTGTGTTCTCCTGCACTTTGTTCTCTTTAAGGGAAAAGCAAATACCAAGAAAGTAACAGCCCTAAACAAGGGGGAAAAGCTATGGAAAATATAGGGTCACATTCAAAATTCATTCTTTTTGCTGATTTTTTCATATATATATCTCGCTGTGTAACTGAGGCTACAGTCCTCTTGGTTCAGCTTCCAAGTGTTGGGATTATAGGCGTGTACCACTATGCCTGACTTCTCCTTCATGTGGTATCTATTTATTTGGAGATAGGTAAGGTGTATATAGAATAATACAGGAAGATTTTATCTCTAGGACTGTTGCCTTTTCTTCCGTAGCAGGACAATTTCTTAGTGTTGTAGGAGACTCTGCTCACATTATTGATTGTTGGTTATTCCTGCAGGCAAAACACATCCTTGAGGTTTTTCTATCACCATTAAAATGTGTGATTGACCAGGAAGAGCAGAACTCCTCCTCCTAGGAGGAGGAGTGAGCCTCCGCCTTAGAGGGCTGAGTAGTAAAACTGTGATCTGTTCAGAACACCATCTATCACTTCTGGAAGGACTCCTTGCCCTCGACTGTACTTCTGACAGTCTGAATAAGTGCTTTTCCTGTGAGCACAAGGTTTATGCTGTGTAGCTCGAGAACTTCCCTTGCATTATTACTCATGTCCTCGTAAGAAAAGAGATTGTTGGGAAAGTTGGGAAACAGGCAGGGAAAGTTCAAGGGGTGCAGTGAGGTTTCTGGCAAATAAAGAGTGAAACTCTTGCTAGACAGAAATAGCTAAGGAAACAGAGGGAGAGAGCGCTAAGGCACGTGGCTCACTTCTGACCAGGGCTCCATCCCTTCCCCTGTCATCTCTAATTAAACACAGGAAAAAACAAAGCAAGGAGGGAGGCTGTATTACAAAAACTCAGTATCTAAAATATGCTCTCTCTATATACACACATAGTTAAAATATACAAACATGTATCTTGTTATTCTCGTACCATATTAATACACTAAAACGTGCATGTACCTCTTTTCGCTGCCTTGTCTTTGAATGCGAGGCTCTGCTGTAAATCTCACAAGACAAGCACCTGGCCAGCACAAAGAGACCAAAGAAGTGCTTCTCCAAAATGCACACTTGGTCAATGGAAGAGGGAGTGACAATAAGGGGTCTCAGAGCCCCAAATAAGCCCATCAAGTTATAAGAGCTCTCAAGGGTGAAAGTTCCTTCTTTGCCATGTAATAAGATGGGTTCAGATTAAAAACCCCTGAGTTTCAGCTCCCTACCTTATTCATACCTTACTCTGACAAGGTAGCTATCTATTTCCTTATTTCTCTCCTTTCCAATAAAGTGATTTTGTTTTTCCTTCTGAACTTATATCTCTAACTCTTTTATTGATGTATGTTTTGTAAATGAACTTCAGATAAAATCTGCACTCATGAGATGTAAACAGGGTGATACACAGAAAGAAATACAGGGCAATATGATTGGATCATTACTGAAGGTATAGGCTTTTGTGTTATGAGTTTACCTCAGTTTAGTTATCAGTTAATGATGACAGAATTATGCAAAAGAGGTACTGCAGACTCCAAAAACAGGAGGAGCAAAAGGCATACTCTGCCTGCAGCTGACTGCACCAAGGCAGGAGGGAGGGTCCCAAGATGTTAGCTTTTGTGAGGATGCAAAGGACAGCACCTGAGAGCTGGGCCCCGTGTCTACATCCAGCCTCATTATTTCCTCAGAGAACTTCTGGCTGCATCCTAGTGTCGGAGGGCCTGAGTGACCTCATTCTCTGTCAGGAAGAAACAGGTCAGCCTTCCTCCCAAAACT